AAAGAATGCTTTCAGCACCTTGTTGAATCAATGCCACGTAGAATTAAGGCAGTTCTGAAGGCGAAAGGGGGTCAAACACCGTATTAGTATGGTGTTCCTAATAATCCTTTAGGTGAGTGTACATGTGGAAAGAAATTTGACATAGACTAGATAAATTAACTGAACAGAACAAACTCTTGTTGCATGGTCGCTTAAGGCCTCTGAATTATTTGGATACAATTCAAAATCTGATAAAGCTCTTTTTTTTTTATAGAAAAGACCAGGTTGTATATGCAAATAAATCTAATCCAATCACTACGACACCTGTACAAAATGGATTTAAAATAAAACACATTAAATACTCAACCCCCCCCCCCCCCCCCCCCCACAATTAACTGTGTGTGTATATAAAATACAAATATCTTAACGGTTAGACTGCAGTAATTCAAGATTCAAAATGACAACCAAAGCTGTAAATGGAAAGAAGTCACTTTCAGAGTTTGTCCCAGAAATCCTTCACGGGTCGCAAGCTGAGGTTGGAAATCTGTACAGGGATGCTGCCTTAGACACCGGCAATTTCCAGTCTCAAATGGCTCCAGTGTTTCTGTAAATAACAGCAGAGCTCTACTGGTCTTCTTAAGCATCACAGTTCGAGCACAGAGGGGCTGGAGTATCTGGCTCTGCAGTTTCTCAGGACTTGGGCAAAATGCACTTCAAAACAATCGCACAAAACAGCCCAGATGAAGTCATCGCTTTTGGTCATTAGGCTAATTTGTCAAAATGTTGACACAAACCTAAGAAGCACGTAAAATCCTTCTGTTTAATTTGGACATAGTAAGAGTGCGGCATATATTTTTGCAATTGAGTTATAAGCTTATTTAACAAAAGTATCATTACCGCTATCCTCATAAGGATGAGCAGAAGAATGACAGATATTGTGGTGATTAAAATTAGCATTACATCATTATTATTGATTGTATATGCATTCTCATACTGTTATATAATATAAGGCAGCAGGGTAAAAGTTATACCCTTTATAATTTTTTTTGCTAATTAGTGTTTGAAAGTTGCAATTTTTGCCTCCAGCCAGTAAAATGTAGCGGTGGTCTTTATGGCTGCTGGCCACTTGCCAGACCTGAGACGTGAAGATGCCAAAGCCGTCGCTGATCGGATACGATGTGATTTGGCTGGGGCAGCAGCTTCATATGGCAGCAGCCGATGCTGCGATGAGACACAGGCTTGTAACCTGAAGTTCCCCACTGGCCTGACCGTGCGAAAGACAAGATTCTTTTTGCTTTGAGAAAACAGGCTGGAGCTAAGACTTAAGACGTTTAGACTGCTGTTACCTGAAGTACACTGGCATCCTCCACATCTTCAATCTCTGAATTCTCTAGCTCCCATAAAATGTATAACTGTGCATATAATTGTTACACAACACACACACTGTTCCTGTGAAAATAATAAATAATACATTAAGATCTAACAGATTTTTTGAAATTGTAATTCTGACTATTTACATGACATAATAGCATTTAAGGCCTGCTTGTGTCAAGTTAATACTGATATTGATATTTATTTATACATAAACAAAGATAGATGTGTCAACATCCGGTTAGGCAACGTTAAAGCTGGATTCTGCATCGGTATCAGGAAAGTTTAATCATGACCGATAAGGATGATTGTGCTTTACATTATGAAGAAGCTTTCCTGAATAACTCTGGGCCACAAACTCAAAATGCCTGGCTGGGTTTCCTTGAGCTGAGGGAATCGTCCAGCTGTGACCCAGCTGGATCCGGTAAGATAACAGCTAAAGTTTCGAGTATTGGTGCCAATTAATAATATTTTCTATAAACTATCTCTGTTTTTCCTCTTTTATTATTTCCAGCTGCACCTCAGCCCAGGTCACCTGATCGTGGCACGTTTGGCTGCCCTTTCCCAGCTGACAGCCTGACGGGCTGTGATGTGTCATTGGTCATCGTCCTGCGTGCAGCTTGCTGTGACCTTTTGGTGCTGCGCTGTGACTGAGGCTGTGCGGCTCCCCTGGCTTGGCTTCGCTGACGTTCCCATCCTGATACATGCGTCCATGTCTGTGAGGTTTGGCTGAATGCTGGCCAGACAGTCCCCACATCCCACCTGGCTGGTGGTGCAGACGCTGGCGACTACTGCAGCTGAATGCGCAGCCGCATGTGCAGCCTCTTGCCCAGCTCCCCGGCCTGGGTGTCCTTGTGCCGGAGCTGGCCGCTGGCGTGGAGCGGCAGGCTGTTGACCTCCAGCGTGTAGGTGCCCGGTGAGGCTGTGTGCCGGGCGGCGTGCAGGTAGCTGAGGCCCCCCCGCTGCTGGATGCGGAAGGCTGCATTCCGGTTGCCGGAGGAGATGACGTACTGCATGCGGTCAGCGAGGTGCCGCAGCGCCGGCACCAGCTCCAGGATGTGCTGCTTGGGGTCCAGCTCGGAGATGTTCATCACCAGATTCAAGGGGACCTCCATGTCCACGCTGGCCAGGCTGAATGACGACTCCTGCATTGGAGAATGACAGCAAGCCAGTGCAGACTAAGCTTTCATTTTCTGTGTGAACCTCATATACAGCTCTGGAAAAAGTTAAGAGACCTCTCCATATTTTTTAAGAATCTGCATTATTAAATCCTGGTTTAATCCTGGTTCTGTTGGCAGAAGGTTACACTGAGCAGCAGGTTGCTTCCAGACCACAATACACAAGAACAACGTGTAGCAGAAGACACTGGGAACGACCAAAAACCAGCCAGGTAGAGGGCAGAAACGACTTTCCAATGCCAGAGATGACCGTCAACTTATCCAACAGTGCTTCATGAATTGGAGGATGACATCAAGTGACCTTCAAAAGGAATGGGAAACGTGAAGTGCACCCCTAGGACAGTTCATATCAGGCTCCTAGAGGCAGGACTGAAGTCCCATAAAGCAAGGAAGAAGCCCTTCATTAATGAGAAATGGAGAAGAACCAGGCTGGTGTTCACAAAAAAATGTATATTTTACACAGAAGCATACTCATAAATTAAGAAATGAGAGAAACAAAAATTTTTGCTGTGGTCTCTTAAATATTTCTAGAGCGATCAACCTACAGGTGTGAAAGGTGTGTAAACTTACAATATCCACATTCTTCGCTGCTACACACTCCGTCACCACAACACAACCACAACTTTCTGGGCAGTGACCGTGCACCATCACTGCTGACGATGAGGATAGACGCAGCCTGGTATGAAGGGTTACCTCCAATGGCTGGGCTCTGCCGGCGCCACGCGGCTGCCTGCCGCTCCTCTTGCGGTAGCTGCTGACCTTGCAGTCGTGGCAGGCCTCCGCAGACGGGCCGTTACCTTCCTCCTCCCCCTCTGCCCCCCGGGGGGCAAACTGGCCTTTGCCAACCAGCATGCCAGAGACGCAGTGCCTGAACAACACAGCGTTACACATTAAAAAAGACGTTACTCTGTCTAACATGCCTGAAGAATGTCAACTGCAGATATAGTACTCAGCTCCCCATAAATAATAATATTACTTAGTATACATTTCACTTTATGGCTGCACAAATTCTGAAAAAGCCCCAATGAATCAAATAAGGATCAACGGCTCCTTTGAAGGGTTTTTATAGTTCAGGTTCAGCAACATTGTTCCTTAAAATGAACCAACATAAAGGTACTATTAGATTAGACTAAATAAAACTTTATTCATCTTGAGGGAAGTTATTGTGCCAAGGAGTAGCTCTTGTCGTGCAGGACTAAAACAAAAAAGAAAGCTACGGAAGTCTGTAGAGGCATAACTTTTTTTTTTTTCTTTTCATTATCTAGAGATCACGATTTATTTTTCTCATGATCTCGACATAACCCATGTCACTTTCCCATGATCTCGTGAAAGGTTTCGTATTATCCTCATGGACGAATGCATCAGATTTTACTTTGTGATTGGGACAGTCCACAATCAATCAGAATCAAGAATCATAATCAGAAGACTTTATCAACCCCGGAGTAAATTGCTCACATTGCGACTGCACAATCACATATAAACACGAAGACAAGAACAATACAATATAAGTATAAAGATAGGAATGAAGTGTAAAACAAATTACGGCACTGTTAAACATTCTAATAAATAAAATAAAAATTAAATACGATAGAAAATCTCTGTACAATCTAAAGTACCTTTGTCCAAAAGTTAGAGGAAAAAATAAAAGTGTATATTGCACCAGAATCATAAGTGGTTAAATTGCACTTGTTTGTAAAACCAAGTTAGACTTCAAACTGCGGGAAAAAGTCGAGATATATTGCACCGAATCATTGATATGAGGAAATAACAGTGTCTGTCGGTGCTAGAAAATTGTCATATTAGTGTTCGTCATTTGAGAAGGAGCCTCAGAAATTTGCAGCTATACCGTCGGAGAAATTACAGTGAGCCTGAACGAGTAGTGAGTTTCATTACCAACCAACTGGAGAGTCCGGGACGTCTCCATGGTTACCAGGTGATGTTTGAAAGATGTCGGCTTAAAAAACTAAGAAAAAAATAAGTTTATGTATGTCCTCTACAGACTTCCGTAGAAAGCTGAAAATACCAAATATAAAATAAAGAGTATAGGTGTAAAAACAAAAAGGATAAATGATGAGGTATGTCAGGGCGCCCCCAGGCGATAGGCCGGCTCACCCCTGGCCCACTCGGTAGTACCCGGGGGGGCAGCCGCAGAGGTAGCCGCCCTCCGTGTTGGCGCAGCCGTAGCTGCAGGGGTTACGGAAGGAGTCGCACTCGTCAATGTCCTCACAGCGGCTGCGCAGCTGGTCGAAGGCGAAGCCAGATGGGCAGCCGCACCGGAAGCTGCCCAGGGTGTTGTAGCAGGATGCCGAGCCACAGCTGCCCGGATTCGAACACTCGTTTTCATCTGCCAGAGGGGAGCACAAACCTGGAGCTGAGTGCTTGGAGGAGATGTGGGGGGATGTTGTGGAGGCTGTGTGATAGTGGCCCAGTGTTCTGCAGCCAGATCCTCTTGCTGTCTGGGGTGATTTTAGGTTTTTTTTAAGGTTCATATAGTGGGGGATGCCAGATCATTAGCCAATAATAATCTCTGGATTGGTGAGTGACAGGGGCCCAATCAGTGTTCAGCTGGGCTCAGTGCCCCTGTGGTTCCGCCCCATTTGCAGTTTAACTGTAATTTGTGCCTAATATTCCACATGTACTACAGAGATCTGTCACTGCAGGCCCTAGACTTCTAAGGGCTGTTTAACATAATGGTTTAAATGCATTATGAGTGTTCATGAAAACTATAGAATCTACAGTTAGAGGTGTAGTACTGTGTACTCTCAGTAGAGGCTCTGCTCTGCTAACTTTCAGAACTGGCATAACCTTTACATTTTATTTTTTTAGCTTACACTTTTATCTAAAGCAAAATGAGACTAAAAGCAGAGTCAGGCAATCCCTAAAGTAACTGGGGGTTACGAGCCTTGCTCATGGGCCCAATGGTAACATTACTCTGCCGACCGTGGGATCTGAACCAGCGACCTTCCGAGCACAGGCACACACCACAGATTATAAATCACTCCTCAGTGCTTTGCTACCACTGCCATGCCTTTTTTGCAAAAATTACTCATATTATTTGCATGGATTAATTCTACTCAGAGTTTTGCCTCTAGCATCCTTACTATTCGCGGGGTGGGTTTAATCGGAATGCCCCCGCTGTGGCAAAGTGTTGTGGGACCGTAACCCGAAATCCTGATGACACGGAACTCCCACTATCATTACAGCAATCTGGGATGGACCATGGTGTATATTTGTAGGGGTGGCACCCCCCCCCAACTGAATTAATGGAACAGACTGACAGTGTCAGAACCATTTTAAAGGTTCTCCCTGTCAATTGCTGGGAATTAATAGGTGTAAAATCAGTGAAAGGTCATAGTGTGACCTAGTGTTTGGGTATAATAAAAGAGATTAATTTATTTTGCAGATGCCAGTGCCTTCAATGTGCACAAGTGGGGGCTGGCCACCAGGGGGCACTGTGACCCTACTCTCCCGGCCTGATTGTGTGTGTGTGTGTGTGTGTGTGTGTGTGTGTGTGTGAAAGCATGCTCTGTTGTCAATGTTGATTGTTGTTTTTTCTGAAGCACCAGTAAAGCTACATTAGCTTTGGCATAACACCAGTGTCCATTAGGAAACAGCTACAGAGGGCTGACACACATACTGTATCTACTGCACAATGGGTGTGAGCCAAACACTGAAGCCGGTTTTCAAGGTTATCAGCATTTATGCTTTTGATGCTCTTTTAAAAGAGGAGAATATAAACACAGCAATTATACATGTGACTGTTTGGTGCTGATGTGGCTCGGTAGGTTAGGATCTGTGCCCACGTCTGGTAGATCGTGGGTTTTAATCTTGTGGCTGTCAGAATCATCATATCACCTTTAGGTCCCTGAAACCTCAACTGCCCTCGGAACAGGCTGACCGTGCTCTCTGACCCTCACTTATATGTCACTATGGACAAAAGCATCTGCTAACTGATTGATTGTGTTCATCCTTCCCTCATTCCTCTGTTCTTCCAGGCTTATATCAGCTGTCCAATGAGATGGATACGTGGGTGTTCTGCAAGCCTACCAGTACTATATCGTAAGAAACTGCGTGTGAGGACACTGCACAGATTCACACATGGACGCCAAGCTCCCAGGAATTAAAGTGAGTTATGAGTTTCTGCAAGTTAAAAATAGACGATTATGAGACATGAAATGTATTCCAAGAAATACATCAAAATCATATACCCAAGCTGAATTTCCAGCTCCATTGGAAACCATATGTACTTTTATTATAATGCTTATGGAGTTATATGTTTTTGCTATATGTTTATCATACATACATACTATGTATTAGCTACACATGGGGCTCTTCTGTAGCCCCTCTGTGCTAATGTAGTGTAAGTAGTGTTTCATTATTAGTTGTGCAGGTTTTGGCCCTAAAGGGAGCTATATGCTAACGTACCCAAACCGACTCAAGCAGCAATGCTAACTTACCCACACACTGGTTCCACTGGTAGTGCTGCATGTAGCCCTGGGGGCAGGTGCAGCGGTAGCCCCCAAGCGTGTTCTGGCAGCCATGTTGGCACCGGTGGCTACCCTTGCATTCGTCAACATCTGCCGGGGTGGGGTGGGGGGGTTGGCGAGAAAAAATGAGACCCTTTTGAAAGTGTTGGTGTGCTTTTGGCTAATGAATCTGGATATTCCCTCTGGCCAGAGAGATGCCTCGGGGCAGGGGACATGTTTATCAGAGGGGCACCAGTCCCGACCCTGGGCCGCTTCCCTGGAGACACCCCCTCCTCATCAGCGAACTGCCAGTGACCCACCTGAGGAATCCGCGATTTATAACTGCAGCTGCAGTGAGCTGAGCTGGCAGCCCCAGTGCACAGCTGTTTCTAATATGGACTCTAATAAAAACGGAAAAGGGCCCATTTTGGGTTTTACTGTTACTGGTCTATTTTAGCTCACAATGCATCCAAATTCTACTGCCGGTTCCATACTACTGGCTTCCTGCTAATGAGATCCAGGTAAAGTGACCTGAGAGAAAGAGCGCCCCCATGTGGAATCCCGACACAGCCCTGGATACCTCCCTCCATCCTGTCATTTACGGTTAGTAAAACTAGCAGCAGATACCGGTAGTATGAACTGTATCCGTGATCTCTGGTGAACAAGAAACGTAAGTAAGGTCGACACCCATTAGAAAGGAGCATTTGGACTAGGCATCCTTACTATTCATGGGGTGGGTTTATTGGAATGCCCCCCCAGAGTGGCAAGGTGTTGGGGGTGTCGGGGTAGAGCCGTACCATGACAGCGCAATCCGCTGGGGTCCGAGCTGTAACCCTGCTGACACTCACAGCTGAAGCTTCCAGGCGAATTCTCACACGCCCCGTTGGCGCCGCACAGGTTGGGCTCGACTGCACACTCGTTGTTGTCTGGGCAGGAGGAACCAACCACCACCCCCCCCCACCAAAACCAGTGAGCCACTTAATCACCACTTCACGGCCCATTACACCTAACGGCTGGCTGATGATAGCATTTAACCGGGAGATGGGATGACATCGTTTAGTGTGACGTCTCGGCACGGCAATGCTAATATTGGCGACACAGTGAATGTGACCCGTTACTGAAGGTTTATACCACAGAACCATATGGGTGAAACTACTGAAGAGACCAACATACACATTGTTTATATCATAATTAGACTGGAAACTGTAGCGCATTTTGCGTGCTTGAAGTGGTCAGTATAATCCTTGTGAACACCAGTGAGGCAGATGTGATACAGTGCTCATCCTCACGGGACGTGCCCCAAAGCCTGGCTCACTCACCGATGCAGGCGGTGTGGTGCTGGGAGAAGCCGGGGGGGCACCTGCAGGTGAAGCCCCCGATGGTGTTGCTACACAGGAACTGGCAGTTGTGCCTCTTCGTCAGGCACTCATCCAGGTCTGAGGTCAGACGGAAGTGACACTGGTGAACGTCACCCAACAACCTGCTGTGATTCTGCATCCCGTGCTCATGGGACGAGTGTCACGGCTGCTGTGGGAGACACTGTTCTAATGCCGTCTTAATCTCATTTGACCAACATTAAGCCTGTGGCGCCCTTTCGTAATGGTGTAGTGGCTCAGTGGTTAACAATGCGGCCTCATGCCTCCGGTGTGGAGCTGGCATGGTCCTTGTGGTTTTCTTCTGGGTATCCTCTCAGGTGTGAGTGAGGTGGATTGGTCTGTTTGTGGCTGTTTATATGAGTATGGCCGTCCCAGAGATAGACCTCAGACCAGCAGGGGTTTGCGAGCCCCCTGTTAGCCACAAACAGCCACTACACAAGGGGTGGCCACAAAGTGACTTTTTCAGTGGAGTCCCAGAAACAACAAACCCGCCCCTGCCTCAGAATCACTGCAACCCAGCACTGGAAATGCAGTTATTGATATAAACGGTGTATTGCATGAGGCTACGGAAACATTTAACTGCACCGGAGCGGGTGTCATCACCTTTACATGTCCTGCCGTCTTCCTGCAGCAGGTATCCCCGGGGGCAGGAGCAGGTGTAGCTGCCCTCCGTGTTTTTGCAAATGAAGTTGCATGGCTTCGGTGACATGGCACACTCGTCCGCGTCTGTGGGCCGACGGAGATATCAAGAAGGGAGGCATCTGTCTATGGTTTGAGTGCGGTGCTGTGGGGGGGAGATGGGGCTTACCCACGCAGGCAGTGCCAGCGATGTCTGTGGTGTACCCAGGATTGCAGTGGCACCGGAACGAGCCCATGGTGTTGATGCACTGGCCATTCTGGCACAGGTCGGGCAGGACCTTGCACTCGTCTACATCTGCCGATTGGGAGTTTGGAATCAGGCAATGAAACGGGAGGTCTGGAGGTCCACCCACAAATATGACGAGGAAGGGTTAGGTTCCGTAAATGACGTACCCGTGCCGTCAGTGCTGTAGCCAGGCCCATTGGGACACAGCTTCCTGTACTGGCCGCTCCCGTGCAGTGGGCAGAGCTCGCACTGGTTGCCCCAGCCACGCCCTCCATTGCAGCAGCACTCGGACTTGGTCACGGGGTTCTGGCTGCTGGAGGACATCTGGCACATGGTCTGCAGCACCTCGGTGAAGCAGAAGCCCTGGCGGAAATCTAGGAAGCCCAAGGGAGTTGGACAGCCCCTCTGTAAAATCCACAGAACCTTGTGGCAGACAGTTCCGTTCCTTGGCCTCTATAGAGGTTACACTGTTCCTGTCTGTTGTACTTCTGAATGGTTCCTATGATACCTTGTGTTAAGAATCCCATCCTTGACTTTAGGGAAACTGAAATGCTAATTAAAACCAAGGTGGCTACAAAATAATCTTAGTCATAGCTATAAAATATAAAATATTAGTTTGAGTAATTTAAGCCAGAAATTCAAGACGGTTGTTGATGACAAAAGAATGTACAGCCCCAGGGGTTAGGCCACAGTAACCAATGGCAGCTGTGGGGCCACACTGACCTCCAGCCCAGTGGAAGGAAGGTAGAGGAGCACATACTGCTCACCCAGGCAACTGGTGCGTGTAGGATCTGCTTGGAAGCCATTGTTACATTCACACATGTAGCTGCCGACGGTGTTCACACAGCGGCCGCTCTCACAAATCCCCGGCCTGGTGCGGCATTCGTTCTCATCTGGAAGGAACACCAGGTCAAAGGTTTATGGACTACAAACTGTTGGTGTGACACAGCTGTGAGAAATTAGCAGGGTACAGCATTTTATGTATTCTGGCAAAAGCAAACTGACAAATTTCTCCCCCAAAATAAAACTGGTCAGAACAGGAGGGTGGGGTGGGGGGGTGGGGATTGTACGATAAAATTAGCTGAATGGGGGATGCAAAATGTATACAAAAAAACGAGACGATCTGTATTTTCCTGGAACAAGGCATTTTGTTTGTCAGTACGGGTGGAAACTCTAACCCCACGCAGCCCGGAATAATGCTGGTGGAGACTGGGGCTTGGGCACCCCCAGCCTATAGTACTATAAGCTCCCACTTCCAGCATCCATCCATCCATGCATCTGCCCATCCCCGCACTGGATCCCCAAGGTGTGGTGGGGGGGGGGGGGCGGGGCTTCTTACCCTGACACATCTCGCCATTGGGCGTTCTCACCATCCCCACGGGACACAGGCACATGAAAGTACCAATCAGGTTCTTGCACTCCATTCCCATGGACTCGCAGTCGTGGAGCCCCTGTGCGCATTCGTCCAGGTCTGCGGAGGCGGGGGAAACCGGGTGAGTGGTGCGGGATTGCCAGGCGTGTTCCGGCACACCGCGACTGCGCTGTAGTAACCGGGGAAGCAGATCCCCTGAGAAATGACCCACTTCATGCAGAATCTCCAGTAAAGGTTGCCAAGGCTATCGCCCATCGGGGCTTTCCCATGACAACATTAAGATTAATGTATTGAAATTTATTTCCAAAATGGTGCACTGACAAGGCAGATAATACATAACAAACATCTGGTTGTCAAGGAGCCAAATTAGGTACAGGTGCTGCTAGGCTGAGCTTCCAGAAACAAGTGCGAGATCGTCATGGTAACAAACATTCCATGACAGAATAGCCCTACAAGTATACGACATGGAGAGAAAGCGGCCAGCTTGGGGTGCGTGAGGCGGCCCAGGTGTCTCACCCTGACACATCCTGCCGTCCTCCCGCAGTGTGTAGCCTGCAGGACAGGTACACTCGTAGCCGCCGAACGTGTTGACGCAGCGGAAGGCGCAGAGCAGGGCGTTCTGGCTGCACTCATTGATATCTACACGGGGAACATGGGAGCAGTGAGCAGAACCGCTGAGGCGACCCCCAGTTTTCACCGGAACTCTGCATTCTTACACACTTACAGCACACGTAAAAACTCAGTCACCACGAAGCAACACTTTACACAGCCAGAGACAGCAGCTGGGTCTTCAGAAGCCTGAACATCTTGTAAGAAAATCAGAAAAATTACTGAGGACAGACTAGCATAACTAACATTGAATTCCACCGCAGAGACAGACCTTTTTATTTTTACTGTATACATTAAATATGCCATAATGTTACTGATAACTGAGCGCAATACACGCATATATACATACTGTATATATTTATGTATATAGGTATGGAATATAGCTTTTGTAAGTATTTTATAATGTTTATACCATGTCATTGTGTGGAATATGCATTAATAAATTTATTTTAACCTACTTGCACAATGATAAATAAAAAACTATTACTGAATGGCTGCAACGTTCTGCTTGTCTGTAAGGTTTTTATGATGTATCTTAGATTTATTTTAAATGTGCTCTTTGCAGAAAGATGCAAACATTTGTACAGAGCAAAAATCCTGTCTGCGGTGAACTTCTGAAGTTTCACACTCGCCTTCCCATGAAAACCTCCTCGGCCATTAATGGGCCTTCGTGATATTCACTGAAAAATGGCGTGTGTGTGACTAAACTGCAGGAAACAGGAGAGAGTGTAGAATCTCAAAGGCGCCGGACTGGCGATGCCCTTTTTATAGCCCCTGCAGTGCACCTACCCTCACAGGTCATCATGGGGCCGGGCTCGAACCCTTCCTCGCAGGCGCACTCGAAGGCCCCAATCACATTGGTGCAGGTTCCGTTTCCGCACGGGTTCCCCATGGCGCATTCGTCGATGTCTGCCGGGGAACCGGAACACGGCGCGTGTGCGATGTGGCATTACAGTCATCCAGTCACTGAGCCGTGCTAATTCACTGTTCTTGAACCGCATCTCTCAACTAAAAAACATCCAGTTTCCCTTCCATTACTTATTGTGATTGTAAATCACTGACTAGCTTGCAAATGGTCCACTGTATTAATTTTCAAGGCAGGAAAGACGTAAGTGTACCTGAAAGCATCAAACAGTGCAGTTACTGTCCGAATGGTTGGGCATTAAAAACGAAAGACAACTGAATTCATTCTGAGCTTCATAACAAACTCATGCATAATGTTCATCCGAAGACAGCTCTACTACAGAAATTGTAAGATAAAGCTTCTGAGAAATGTAAGAAAACGACTCGAGCTTGTGGAAAGGCAGCTGGGTGCGGCCTTCGGCTGCCGCGGAGCATTGAAGAGGGTTTCTCACCAATGCAGTGCAGCCCGGTGCGGTTCAGCGCGTAGCCCACGGCACACTGGCACCGGAAGGAGCCGTCCATGTTGACGCAGTGCCCATTGTGGCAGATGCCCGGGTTCTCTGCGCATTCATTCACGTCTGCCCGCCAGCCACAGAAAGGTGAGGGTCGAGTTCAGTCACACTCTTTAAATCAGGGGTCTCCAACTCCGGTCCTGGAGAGCTACTACCCAGTAGGTTTTCTGTCCCACTTGGCTTCTGATGAGCCACACCTGCTCCTGGTATTTACCTGAGAACAGCTGTGGCTCATCAGAAGCCAGGTAGGATAGAAAACCTACTGGACGGTAGCTCTCCAGGACCGGAGTTGGAGACCCCTGCTTTAAATCATTAAAATCCTGTACATTTCTAGGACAAACAAAAATATCCTGTGCCAAATCCGGTTTCTCTCATCGCTGTTCGCTTAATATATCAAAAGCACCATGAACATCTCCTCAGTTAACAATAGCGCAAATGAAAGTAGCATTTTCGCGTTCATTTTATTTTTTGCCAAAAATGGGAGAGTGAGGAACATTATCCGGACGTGGTACCTATTGGCGCTTCTCCAATCCCGGGGATGAGTCCGTGACCAAAGGGACACAGCTCCTGAAATCCCACTGTCATGGAGATGACAATGGCAGAACAGTTAGTGACTCCAACTCAAGGTCGCTAGACGGGCTGTGAGAACCAAGGACTCATAATAAAAGGGTAAAAACATCAGTAAAGCAGAGGGTTTACCGTCCTGCTCCTTGGGACAGAGCTCACAGGGGTCTCCCCAGCCCTCCTTGGGCATGGTGCTGCAGCAGCAGGCGGCCTTGGTGCTGTTGAAGGCCTGTGGCACGGCGCACATCCCCTCGGTGAACTTGCTGAAGCAGAAGCCTGTGCGGGTCTCTGTGAGAAGAGCGGAGGCCCACTGATCGAATGCGCGCCGGTCACTGTGGTGGCATTCTCCTCAAAGTGGGTCACCACCGGAGGAACAGCCAGTGTAGCTAATATTACTGCGTATATATCATCCATCCAAAAAATCGCAGTGGTAGGCCATGACCAACACTAAAAAAAAAAAAATATTTAGTGTATGGGCCCATTTAAATCTCCTGCAAGATTTATGGCCAGCAGGGTTGGATTTAGCGCATAATCCAGAAATGGCTCTTGAGGGAGACCCAGGGACGTAGAGACTCACAACATAATTATTATAATTAACTACTCAGATGAAACTGTTATTCTATTATCGGGCGCCAAGTAACTTTGCAGTTAAGGACACATGGTACTTAGCCAGTGTTTGTTCTAGTAAAATATAACAAGAGAATAGAATATCTTTATTGTCACTGTTAGCTCTACCAATGCTACATATTATGTGGAATAAAATACGAATATAATATTGATATATATGGCTGAATAGTGAACAAAAGTGCATTCTTAAAATTGATTTAGCAGTGTTGAACGTAACAATGTGAAAGAGCTTAAGATTAAAAATAAGCAGTATTGTAATATGCAGCTGCATACACAGTTCTTATAACCCATAGCAACCAGAGGTAAAAATCTTTCATATTCCTGATTGGCCGCTTTGGGTTTGGGGGCGGGCGGGCTTACCCAAGCACCTGCGGCCGTTCTCCGAGAGTATGAAGCCAGGCCCGCAGACACACTCGAAGCTGCCGGGACTGTTGAGGCAGGAGCCAAAGAGGCAGATGTTAGGATCTTCGCACTCGTTGAAATCTGTGAAGCAGAGGCACAAATTTCACTCCTAACTGCAATACGTCGCTTGTCTATTTCTGATGAAGGGGGATGTTAACGTGCCAGAGCTCTGAGTCTGGGCCCAAAAAAAGGCCCCCTGATTTACAAAGCCTCTTTGTGGGGCCAGCGCTGGGGTGATGTCAGGACTGGGTTCTGCTGAACTGAAGCTGGTATATCGATTGTCACTGTATATTTAGGAAACACATTAAACAACCAAATACTACTGTCTGAGGTCTTGTGGATAAATTTTACAGAATGTCCACTTGGAACAGATTTTATCCACTTTTGTAAAACTGAAAAGTGCTTTCCTACAACATTTATGACCAGAGCTGTGACATTTAAATCCGGCCCAGGGTTTCATTTTCCAAAGTTAGCGAATGAAAACTTTCAATATGTATCGATTTCATTGGGCCTGATGGATCGTCCTGACAGAAAGGTCCAGAAAGCAGCCCTTACCTTCACAGTGTTCGTCCTGTTTGACGTAACCTGCTGGGCAGAAGCAGCGGAACGAACCGTCTGTGTTCTGGCATGTTCCGGGGGCACAGGTTCCAGGAAATATCGTGCACTCATTCACGTCTGTTTTGTGGAAGCAGGGGAGCGGTTAAACGTGCTGGCGTCCGGCCGCCCCGGTGTGGCAGCGCTCAGTGTGCCGGTAGACTTACCGATGCAGTTCTTTCCATCTGCAGTGAGCTTGTAACCCAGGTGACACAGACACTCAAAGGATCCCACATGGTTGAGGCACTGACCGCTCCTGCACATCACGCCGTACGGCGTCCTGCACTCGTCGATGTCTGCACAACATCAACCACAAGCACAAGTACTAGAATAATTACTGGCTGGATTGCTGGACTTCGCTATACCTCAACCGTCCAGCAGAGGGACTCACCCGTACAGTCGTTATTGTGCGTGATCTCGAAGCCAGGGTGGCAGACACAGTTGTATGAACCCACCGTGTTTCTGCATGTCCCGTTTCCGCATGGCTGCCTTGCACATTCATCGACATCTTTAGGGGAAAGGAGACAGCTTTATTCACACTAATGACACAAAGAAATATAAAGGAAAATTGGTTCATAAGCTTAGCTGTGACATCATCAAGGCTACGGGAAACAGAAAAAAGAGACAAAAGCTGTACCCATGCACATCCTCTGATTGGAGCTGGCCCTGTAGCCATGGTGACAGAGGCAGTGGTACGCCCCCTGGATGTTCACGCACTCCCCGTGGCTGCACACGTTGGGGTTCTCTACACACTCGTCACGGTCTTGCCGTTGAAGAGGAGAACAAGAGAGTCACTCGATGGGGTGAGAGAGCCGCCTTTCCTGTGAAAGCATCATCTCTCCCCCTCTAAGGGCACACTGTGGGGGCCCTGTATTCATAATGACCCATAATAAGAAAGCAAACAGCTGCTAATGAATACACCAGCCATTCTGGGCCAGAGCACAAACACCGACGTGGGATGTGCTGCCCTCGCCACGGCAACTCAACCACCAATGGGGATAGCCAGATAGAGGGCAGGTTTGTTGGTACAATATGACCCCAGGAGTGATAATGTAAGGGTCCAAGTGGGATGCCAAGGCCAGCAATTATTAAAATTAGTAGTATATCACTTTCTGTTTGGAGAAAAAACAATATAGCAAGAGCAAGGTCTCCAGCGTACTAATGTGGTACATGGGCTCATCAGTGCTGAGAGAATATAGAACTAGGAATACACTATAATATAATATAATAATTATAGGGGAGTTTGCACACTGCTGAAGTACAATACACATCCCTTAAGCAGTGTGTGCTGCGTAAAGGCTGATTTACACTTCTGTGTAGTATCTACGCTGTACCGCACACTCTAGCTTGACACACACTTCCCCGGAAATGTCACTGCGGGCTGTCAGCTACAGTGTTGCGTACGTGGCTACATGGCTATTCCAGCCTTTACGGAGGCCAGCTCACCCAAGCAGGCCCCGCTGGGAGAGACGCTGAATCCGTCAGAGCACTCGCAGCGGTAGCTGCCCGGGATGTTGATGCAGTCGGCGTCTCGCTGGCACAGGCCCTCTCTGCTGCTGCACTCGTCGATATCTGCGAGTGATACACATGCTGGGGTGATGGGAAGGCCCGCTTAACAGTGTCTTATCATACTCAGAAAATCAATCGATGAATTAAAAATGGCCCCTAGTTGTCATTCTAATATACAGACACATGCCCAATGAGTTTGGTGCGTAAAACTAACTTTGTCCGCAGTTTATATACTGTTTCTCTATGGAGTGAGGCTCAGGTGAGCTCTAGAGAGGTTCATCTTTGGCTCACTCGGAGTCAGCCTTCCCCAGGAGCAAAAACCACTGTTCTGGTGTTACAAGTATGTGCCCCTGACCCCTCCCGACCCCTCACTCCACTCCCAGACTGGCCTTATTTCAAACTGGACCAGTTCAAAAGATTGGTCACGTCCCTACATGATTCAAAGCCGACTGCAGTCTGACAGCTGCAAGGCCGAGGGGAGAGATTATGTTGCCCCTGCCTCACTCTATCCACCCCTTCCCCCCCCCCCCCAGCCTGACTGTGCTTTAATGTGGAACCGCACTACACGAGGCACTGGGGATGCTCAGAACAGAGCGAGACATACGGTGGGTTAATATTTTGAAAGATGAAGAGAGCAACACCAAAAAGGGCGAAGAGACAAAACATAACATGACCCCATTTCCCTGTCTGGGGTGTTTCCTGGCCCAGGGATCCAAAGGCGAAGCCATCCAAGTCCCCTCCTTGACGCCTGAAGTACTTTAAAATGTTGCTCCACATTGCAGGGAGTCTCGCCGCAAGGAAGGTAAGGAAAGGTGAAGGAGTCTTGCCCAGCTCACCGTCGCAGATGATCAGCAGGTCACTGTAGCTGAATCCCGTGGGGCACTCGCAGCGGAAGCTCCCAATCTGATTGATGCACACACCGCTGGCGCATATCCCCGGGATCTCCCGGCACTCGTCGATGTCTGCAAGCGGCGGCAAAGGCTATAGATTTAACCATCAGTCAGACGGCAACAGCCCATCTGGACAAGAATCAAGCCACCAACCTGGACAGCCAGAATTCGGGAGATGTGCTGCCTTACTCACCCACAGCTTTTCCTGTCTCGATGTCTAATCTGAAGCCAGGGACAATGTTTCCACACAGAGTACGGTAGCCACCTGGCAAAATCATCAATTGTATAAACCTTTTCTATACCGCTTGCTCTCAGTTTCTACTTTTAAATCAAATATTGAAATATGCGGGTGATGTGTAGCACAGCAGGTTAGAACGCTGTGCCTGTGATCAGAAGGTCACTAAATTGAATCCCTTGGCTGGCAGAACGATGTCATTGTTGGACCCTTGGCAACGGTCCTTAACCCCAGTTGCTCCAGAGACTGTCTCAATTGTACACCAATGGATAAAAGCATCTGCTAAGTAAGTTAAATGTCAGTATAGTACATAAAACTAGTATACAGAAACCTTTTGAATTGTAGGTTGAATTACAAACAACATTGATGCGTTTCTGATATCATTATCATCCAGTTTGATAGGAAGAAATTATATGGTTTTCAAAATGGCCCCACAAGAGGTGATTATTTGAATGGTTTCAGTATCTCTGGTACTGACCAGTGCCAGGGGCAGGGCAGGCCTCGCAGGGCTTGTTCCAGGCCTTGCCCACATTGTAGGAACAGCAGCACAGCCTCCGGGTTATGTTGAAGGTCAGCTCATTGCTACATGCTGTGCCATTGTGGTTTCTGTAGCAAACACTTTTTCTCATGTCTGGAGAAACAGACACAATAGGATAGGTGTACCTCATGGCTCAGTCCTCAGTCTCAAAGGATATCATTACAAATGATCATTCATGTGACTCACCCATGCAGTTGTTTCCCCCGTTGACTTGCATGTAATCTTGGGGACACACACAGGTGTAGTTACCTAGAGTGTTGTAGCAGGTGCCTGGACCACATATTCCAGGGTTGAACACACATTCGTCAATATCTGGAACGGGATGTGAAGCAGATTAGTGTGAGACAACCATGAAAATAAATTACTTCCTTGGAAAATTTCTATTACTGCATAGTTTATCACTATTTGCATTTAATTTGTAGATGCATTTATTTTGTGGATGGTAAGGAAATTAGCTGGTACCACATTTCAGTAATATGTAAAAAGACAGGAGGGGAAACAGGTCATTTTTCACCTAGGCAACTTTGCTCTTTTTATTTTTGATTGAATAAGACACAAACATTCATCACAATAGTTTGTCTCTGTGATCCAGCCTTGCAGATAAGACACTGGCCAGGATCAAGACTTGTCATCACATGCACAAATTTCCTACCTGAGCTGACGACTCACCCTCACAGATACGACTGCCCTCGTTGAGGTAATATCCGTTCGGACACTCGCACTCGAAGCTGCCGAATGTGTTGACGCAGTCACCACCCTGGCACAGCCCTGGCAGCTCCTGACACTCATCGATGTCTGCATTGGGAGGTACGGCAGCCCATGAGGACACTAAGAGTCTAGGATTTTTTTAAGATAGGGGGCATAACAGAGGCCTTAATTCATGTAAGGTTGGCCCCTCTGTCATTAGCCAATGATATGTTTTGGATAATTGAGTCACAGGGGGAGGAGGCACTCTGAGGGCCAATCGGCATTCAACTTTGGCCAGTGCCCCTGTGGCCCCACCCCAGAATATAGCTCTGGAGTAAGGAAGCAATGGATTTACCTTCCAATATAATAGTAACAGGATTGGGTCTGAAACCCTCCCCTCCAGGACAAAGGGTGTTGTAATCCGCTGTAAGGACATCAAATCATGACAGGTCAGTTGATGGATGCTACAGCAGTACTACCAGGAATATTTCATGTCTCCTTGGAAACCAATGGGGCCTTACAGGAGTTGAGGACAGGACAGAGCTCACAGGGGTTTCCCCAGGCACGTCCCAGGGAGCAGCAGCAGGAGGACCGGCTGACCCCAACGCCCAGCTCCACACTGCAGACCAGGTTCCCCCGGCCCCGGTAAGCAAACTCCAGGTAGCAGTTTCCCGCTCGAGTATCTGGCCAGTACAGGGTGTGGGAGGGGACATATTTCAAATACATTCTGAATTACGTCTTTGCAAATTGGGAATTATGGTCAACTTCACTGGCAGGCAACAAACACCTGGTGCAGATGGACATATATTTCTGGAAGTAACAGCTGTTTTATCAATGCTACCTTTAAACCATGGATGATTAGGGGAAATTCCTCAGATACTGAGCTGTACTATTACACACATTCACAGACACTGTCACATCCTCTATGAAAGGCACATGATGCTGGGTGCCCAGACATACCAACACAGCCCACGCCAGTGGGGTTCAGATCAAAGTCTGGCGGGCAGTTGCAGTCGTAGGACCCGGCGGTGTTGACGCACAGTCCATTCACGCAGTTGATGGGGTCTAGGCATTCGTCCACGTCTGCAGCACAACAACAACACGTACGGTTGTCAGAAAGTGTAATTTTTTAATGAGGATGTGGTTTTACTGACTCTCCCTTGGTCAGTAGTTCTGATGGATGTCAATTAACGTAATTAATTTAAAAAAACATCACACATTTGCAAAATTCCTACAAAACTCCTTTCATTAAACAAGATTAATCTGTTTTCACACAAGTCAGACCAAAACTTACTGGAGCATAATTATGATAAAATCTTAAATACCTGTAATTGCGACAAACATTTTTTTCTGCCAGTTATTATTGCTAACATTAAAACAAAGTGTTATTAAAATGACATTTAGCCCACATTTTAAATTATAATTTCCATTTGTCATGTTCTGGAGTAATTAATAGAAAAAGAGAGGGAACGATAGGCTGTGTGAAAGACGAAGCGTGTAAGATCACAAACAGATTCTACTGTGCCTTCAAACCTGGAGATCCTGCCTTAAAATTACCGAGTCATTTCTACCCCAGTCTGCACTTTACAGCCTGTTTAACGCGAGCCAGCCATGCACATGTAGTGCAGATCAAAGGGAAATGGTCAAGATATATAGGAGAGGGACCACTGGTGATACTGCGAACAGACGGGGGCCACCTACCCGTGCAGTTACCCGAGGACCTGTTCAGCTCGTACCCTTCATCACAGAAACACCGGAACATGCCGGGGATGTTCTTGCACGTGCCAAACACGCAAACGTTTGGGAAGGAGCACTCATCAATGTCTGCCAGACGTCATGGAGAGGATACAGAAGCATAAATTGGTTTTGTGCAATGTTTTGCAAGTGGGATGATTTATGTACTTCACATGTATGACATATTATATATTACTTGTGTTTACAAATGTAAAATAGCTGTGAAAAAAAGCTTTGTAACTGAGAAAAACATTAACAAAAGAAATTGTTCTATGGAATCATGGCAACAAGTTTAGGGAGATTTGAGATAATGAACTGGTAGTTCTACTGTATTGGCAGGCGTTTAGGTAAAAGCGCAGTGTTCCTGGGCTAGTTAGCCAGGAAAGAGGCGTTATAATATGTGAACCCATCATATGCTGATGCAGAGGGAGGAGCTACAGGCCTGCTCCAACCTTGGCAGGATCTGCTGTCGGGGGTGGGGGTGAAGCCCATGTCACAGTCACAGCGGTATCCCCCTGGCGTGTTGAGACACTGGCCATTCTCGCAAAGGTCCACGTTGTCCGCACACTCGTCAACGTCTGCGGGATACGTGGGAGTGGGGTCAGTGCTGCAATACTTCGCTGGATCCCGTTTCCCTCAGCATGCCGGCCTTACCCGTGCAGGTGTAGCCATCCCCAGTGAAGCCCTCGGTGCACGAGCACCGGTAAGAGCCCGCCATGTTCTGACATTCGGCACTGGCGCTGCACCGGTGTGTCCCGCTGCTGCACTCGTCCACATCTGTGCAGCAAGAGATAGCAGGTGGCTGCACGGTCAGATTAGCTCAGCAGTTGCAGACTGCCTGGAATGCACTGGTTCCACAGAGTGGCAATGTTCCGGAATAGCACAGCGATAATCTGTTTTGTCTGGATGGTTTCCACACATCCCATCTTTCTCTCCATGAAAGACACAGACACACATGGATGCACAGATGAGAGCAAGTTTTTGAGCCCAGAGAGCACAGTTGGCCAGCTGGAGCAGTTGGGGTTAAGGGCCTTGCTCTACTGGGCACAGGATTCTAACCAATGACCTTCTGGATGCAGGTACAGATCTCAAACCTAGTAGCAGCACAATGCCCCTAATAAATCAAACAAACAAACAAACAACCACATGAACAAACAAGCAAATAAATGAAACGAAACAAACACAGACAGACAGACAGATATAGATAAAGGCTGAGCTAAAGCATTCAAAAACTCCCCTGTTTCTGCTGCAATCATTTTGTAGCGTGAAGCTTAAAGGCAGGAAATTTCCCAGGAAACCACAATACTGCGCAGGGCACCATCACAGGACCTTTGAGAAAGCAGCACGGCACAGTCGCATTCTTACGTGATCATTTAAGGGTGGATGTCTGGATTACAGGCATTGTCAGCATCCCCCTAAACCTAACCCTAAACCTAACCCTTTCATTTCAGATGCCGGGAGCAGCTGAGCTATCCTTGTCCAATCAGCTTGCGCCCCCTTTGTCTGCGAGTGGCATTCACGGCCTTCCTGCTACCTCCCCCATCAATTTCCCGCTAAGAGTGCGGCCAGTGCTGCCTGTTCCCTGTATCTGACACCAGGCAGAGCTGGAGTCCCGAGCGAGTGAGACATCCCTGACCTGAGTGAACGAGGGGAATGAGGTCTAAAACCCTCAGTCAGAACAGGGGTGCCAAATAAAATGTCAGGCTGTCCGTTTTGGTTCCAAAATGGCTGTAGGAGGACAAAAGTTGAAAAGGACAAAGGTGCAGGAAGTTCAGAGACCATCCACCCACTGCTGCTACACAGCGCTAAGGTTTAAAGACAGAGCTTCATGCGTTCATTCATTAGAAATTAACCTGACATTTATAACGTACTGTAAACCTGGGCATTACGGCAGCAGGAACAACAGAGACAACACTTGTTTGAAAGACAACATACTCTTTAATATCAGCCCTTAAATGGACCGCACACAAACAACCACCAGATCTCCCGCAAAACATAATGAGGAAACACAGGGAGGTTGGACGCCAGGCATTAAGGCACACACACGGTGGGTCATTTACACAATGGCAAGTACAAACACAGGTAAAGGCACACGTGACAGTCAGGTCCACAGACCAGTTATTTAAAACAAGACATACAGAGGGGCTTTGTACAAGGCTCGTGAGTATACTGGGAAATGCTAATTGGCTCCCACTACTCTGAGCCATCTCTCCGGTGCTATAATTCAAACGGTTAGAGAGAGTCTGGAAGAGACAGTCAGAGCCTGAGAAAAGTGGCAGGAAACACGGCTTACCAGCACAGGCGACCCCACTGCCCACCCAGCCCTCCTGGCAGGAGCAGCGGAAGGCTCCTGGGGTGTTCGCACAGGCAGCGTTGATGTCGCAGTTGTGGGCCCCCATTTCACATTCGTCCAGATCTAAAAGAGGGGGATGTTTCACTATGCTCACTTTACAGAACTATTATTCTACAATTTCAAATGGTGGCTATTTGTTTGGTGTCTGATTTTTGGAAATAAGAGTTTAGTCTGGTTTGGAGTGATTTAATCCAGTTTACACTGCTTTAAAGTTCTCTGAACTGGTTTGATCAGGTATGGAATGATTTAAACAGGACTGGGTTATATATGGCATGATCATACAATAATTTCCATATAATTTAGCTCAACAGATGGATAGCAGTTCAAGGTTTTGGACTTCAATAATAGTTTTAATTATAAAAATCTATAAATTACAAATTGAAAATGCTACATATACATATAATTTGTGAAATTATGCCATCATTCATCTTATGTACCCAAGTTTAAGCTAATTTAGACTTGTTTGTTAATGTTGGACCATTTTGCTTGATTTAAAATAATTGTATCTGATGTAAAGCTTTGATACAGCAACCGTGAAAACATGCATTTTGATCTTTTGAACCATATGAATCCAGCCAAATCCAAATGAAATCGGCATAAACCAGAATCAGTTTCAACTGGCTAAAATTGGTTTAATCCCTTAGCAACAGGGTTAGATGAACAAATCGCTAAGAAAATAGAGAAATGCATGTACCAGATAGTGCAGACCATTCTGTTTTTGTTGGATCTTGTGAATTGCTTTACAACATCCTGATTAGGTTTGTACTGGTTTATAACCGGTTCCCTCAGGGTACAGCTGTGCAGGTCTCACCTGTACAGCCTGTCGAGCCCTTCTTGACTGAGTAGCCCTTGTGACAGTGGCAGATGAAGGATCCCTTGCTGTTCTCACACTCTCCAGACAAACAGATGTTGGGATTGAGGTCACACTCATTCACATCTGGAAAGACAGAAACATGATCTCACAGCATGGACCCTGCTGACATGTGGGGCAGGAACCAGGTGGAGGCAGCGCCTGGCACTAATGTGGGAGCTCCTCCGCACACATCACACCCTCTGCAAGTCCCTCTGCTATGCCCACATGGACCCCAAGCAGGGCACAAAGCAATGTACTGGCTGTGAACTAGGAGGTCAGTTATGGAATGGTCACTGCTTAACCCAATCAACTAGCCCAGAAGCTTGGTCTTTCAGTCTCTCTCTCTCTCTCTCTCTCACGCACACACACACAGGTTTGTAATTATATCTTTGTGGGAACTCTTCATTCAATTCTATGTGGAGAACTCTAATCTCAACATGACAACCTTAACCCCTACCAAGCCGTAACCTTAACCATAAGTAATGAAACAAAATACGAGACTTTTGGTATTTTTAGTTTTTTTTGATGAGGTGGCCTCAGATCTTTGTGAGGACCTAAAAAATGGTCCCCACAATGTAAAAATAACAAGTTTTTATCACACTGTGGGGCCATAAACACCGCCCCCACTCACTCACACACACACACACCCTAATCCTTTTTTGCTTCTTGCCTTAACTGTGTGGTACTTGACAACTGGAGAGCAGTATAATGCAGATTAGCTGTCACACATCGTCTTGGTGAGTTACGACTTCACTGTAAAGAATGCTTCGACCATTGCACGGCTGTCCCATCAATAAGAGGCATTAAAACTTTGTGTGCCCTCATTTTGAGCATGAGTGGCTGAAACTACTTTTAAGTTTTGTGCCAATTATTTAAGTTAGTTCAGAAATATCTACCAGCCATAGCATTCACTTTCTGCATACCTGTATGACCTCACTAGTCATTAATATAAACAAAACATTACAACTATAGGCAAAACCTAAAAATCTGACACAAACATAAAAAGGCAGCCGAGGCAGCTGTCAGACAAGGTTTACAGTATCCTGTGACCTCATATGAGATGAAGTACCTGTACAGGTCCTCATGTCCATAGAGGACATAAATCCATCAAAGCAAAGGCAGTGGTACTCCCCGGGGATGTTGCTGCACTGGCCACCATGGCAAATATCTGGCTCCTCTTCACATTCATCCACATCTGCAGGTAGACAAAAGAGCTGACTGTGAGCGTGAGACTTGCGAGCCCGCTTTCGGCTTCAGGAGATCAAACATCTGCCATCTTTCCTTCAGCTGTGCAGCCTGGATATCTCTGGGCTGCTCAGCTGTCCATGTCGCAATCAGGGTAGATACATGCCAGAGAAGATGTGCGTCTTTCCTATTTGTGTAGCTAATGTGAAGCGAGGGATGGGACCTCAGTGTCTAATTCCCATTAATGTTTATCATGGGGAAGCGTACCTGAGTTTACATTTATTTTCTTAGCAGACACTTTTGCCCAATGTGACGTACAATGGAGGGATGCTTAGGCTGAAAAGGCAGGGTCTGCCAACATCCAGCAGTGATATAATTACTCTGCTGGCTATGGGATTCAAACCCACAACCTTCCGGACACTGGTATAAATGCTGGTGTTTAAAATGAGGGCAATTAAAGCTAATGTTTTTGATGAATTAAAGCACAGACTGCATTTGATGAGATGGGTTTAAGGAGGCCGAGCGGAGAAGCGGAGAGGCGGCCTGCTCACCCGTGCAGCTCCGCTGGTCCGGCATCAGCGTGTACCCGCTGCTGCAGCCGCACTCGTAGCTCCCCTCCGAGTTGGCGCAGCGGAAGTCACAGCCCCCATTCTGAATGGCGCACTCGTCGATATCTGTGAGGGCCAGCAGGGACAGGACACAAAACACGACTGCCAATTAGCACACTTCACTCACTGTGTCTTAGAAGGCATCAAAGAATAAGGCAGAGGGGGACTCGTACCCACGCAGGCCTGGTGGTCCGGGGTGGCCTGGTAACCAGAGTCACAAGAGCAGCGGTAGCTGCCGGCCACGTTGATGCAGCGCCCGTGCCGACAGAGCCGGTCGCTGAGCCTGCACTCATCCACGTCTGCAGCACAGGCACACGTTAGTGACATTAGCGAGGGCTCTGGACACATAACCCGTACCATGGGGGAGGTTGGTAATCAGGGCTGGCATGACAGTGCGCTCACATGTTACAACGACTTCTCGTTTTGTGGACTGAGGTCCTATCTAAAGACACAGGTGGCTGCTAGAATCACAGGTGTTGAGGTCACACTAAGAAGGATGGCAGGGGGACGCTGTTTGATGCTCTACTGCTCCGTATAAACATATGACATCCTTAGAAGTCATTTATCATCAGCGGCCTGCCTCAAGCGAGGTCAATTTTATGTCCAAAAGGCTGTAGGTATACTCTCATGAGAACGGTGATCTCCTTATGTGGTTGTAATTTCCAGATCTGGCTGTAGTAATAGTTATGTGATCCTTCTAGAAAACGGTGCAGCCTATTTTCCCTGAGCTTTCACTATGATGATGATGATGGTGATGTTAATGATGTCAGAGTGTAACAAGGGGTGATGGATCACCCTAGCAACCACAGAACTACATTCAAACGCCACTGATTGGCCACTTACCGGTGCAGGCATCACCGTCTGGAAAGAGCTGGTAGCCAGGGGGGCAAATGCACTTGTAGCTGCCCTCTGTGTTCTCACAGGAACCCCCCAGACAAAGGCCAGGGTCACGCTCACACTCATCAATATCTAACAGGAACACAAAATGCAACAGAGGCCTTTAAGGGCAGAATAACTGGCAACAACATTATGCAGGCTATTCATCTAACGTTGCAGAACTGCAGGTAGTATTTTACCAGGAAACCAAGAAACATAGTTTTATTGCATTCGTTCCATCACGGGTAGCCAGAGGGGTCATGCTGTCAAATGCTGACTCTCAGATGACAACCACTGATTATGCAAAGAGCAGGTCAAACGCAGGACAACAGACGGCAAAATGGTAAAGGCTGTGGCCTCGTTGCAGGTTCAGGAAGCAGGAAAGATCCAGCTGCAAGGCAGCTCAGTACTTGACCTGAACTTTTCCAGTAAAATATCTCATATGCTTTGACTGTATGTCAGTTAAACAACTAAGTTTAATGGAAAGGTGTCAAAGACACTTTAAATATAGGAGGGGAAAAACCAGAAAAAAAACATTGTTCAGGGCTGATTTGACTATTTTTTTTTTTGCCCCAAACTATTTTCTGTATGTGGCTTCAGCCAAAAGCAACAAACTCTCACCCCAGTCTCAAGCAGCAAATTACTTCAAAGCCCGACATGTTCAAACGAGCACCATCAGCCATCAACACTCTTTTACCTTCTTATTCAACCAATGTTACAGTCACATTTTTTTTTCTTTGTAGAACCAAACTGGCCAATCAGAAGTGATATAAAAGAAAGGTCGGCTGCTATTGGCTGCACTTTACATGGAAAGAAAAATGATTGAATGCCACGTAGTGCCCTCCTTTCATGTGTCGTATAAGGTGCCGTTACAATGGTATAAACAGTCCTAGTGCCCTACCAGTGGAAAAGGGTGCTGTTATGAAGTGCCAACCCTACATGATTGTTCCAAAGGATGCCCATGACAAAGTACCTAAGTAAGTACCCCTTATGGTGGATAAAATGTGACGCGGTGCTGTAAGGGTGCCCGGCCATGTGTGAAAACTGGAGAATACCATTTCATCATACATAGTGTATATTCTACTGAGGGGGGGTGCTCACCCATGCAATTCTTCATCATCATGAAGCCACTCTCGTAGCCCTGGAAGCAGTCACACTCGAAGCCGCCAGGCGTGTTCACACAGGTGCCCCTCCCACACACGTCGGGGGAGATGTGGCATTCATCGATGTCTGAGAGGGACCGTCGGAAGGAGAAAATAAAAGAACACCGGCCGTCACACCCTGGGCTGTCAAACTAACGATGACGTGTGTCCAGTTTGACCGCTGGTGATTCCTGCAGTGCACTTCCTGTCTGGGTCCCGGTACTTCCTGTGTGTCTCCCATTAGATCCTGTTTGTATCCAGTTATTTCCCGTCTGTATCCTGTTACTTTCTGTCTGTAACCCCCACTGAGGTGCACGCCAGCCAGCTCACCCGTGCAGTTTCGCTCCTCGGCATCCAGGGCGAAACCACCGTCGCAGCGGCACCTGAAGCTGCCGATGGTGTTGCGGCACTTCCCATGCGTGCAGAGACTGGGGAACATCTTACACTCGTTGACATCTGCAAAATGGCAAAAATGGTGAACGGATGAGCTCGGCTCCGGCCAGCAGAGACAGCCGCGATGTGAAGAAATACTGAATCAATCTATATTATTCAAGGATTCCCTGAAAGTCCCATCCAGAATAGCTACAGTATTTCATTAAAATGTGTGAAATTTCAGAGCACTCAATCTCCAAAGATGTTCTGGAAAAACACCTGAGACCTTCATACATTTCAGTTTGTAACTTTAGTCATGAAATACACAAACAACAAAGGAAATTACACAAAAATGTAATATATAATAACATTCAAATAAAATTGCAAATGATATTCAATGAAAATGTTATTTGAATATACAGTATCAGTCAAAAGTCTGGACACATCAAGCCGCCTACAAAGGAGAGTGATAGAATCACATCACATGACCTGATCACCTAAACTAAACCCAGCAGATAATGTTTTAGATACAGGTTGACCAGAGAGTGAAGGAACAGCAGCCAGTGAGAGCTCAGCATATGAGGGAACTCCATCAGGACAGCTGGACAAGCATCCCAGGAGGCCACCTCATCAAACTGGTGTAGAGGAGACAGTAGGTCAGCCAGTCCCTGGAGCACCTAGAATTAAGGGCCTTGCTCAAGGGCCCAATGGTGGTATCACTCCGCTGACCCAGGGATTTGAATCAGCAACCTTTTCCCAATTCATGGAGCTGCCCGCGCCCAACAAATTATTATTATTTTTTTTATTTATTTTTTGGTCAGCATATAATTCCATATATGTTGTTGTATAGTTTTGATGTCTTTATAATTATTCTAAAATGTAGAGAACAGTACAAATAAACCTTTCTATGGGTAGATGTGTCCAAACGTTTGAGTGGGACTGTAAATATAAATATATACATCTGTTTTATTTTATCTATTGTGTACAATAAAAGTATTCTTTATTATCCAGAGAAAAAAATCTGTGTTTTCTTGCCATATTTTCTAAAGAGAATCACAGACAGTGAAGCGGAGGTAATCAGGAACCCCAGTAAAAAATAATGTTCCTGAGCTTGCAGAGCAGATCCCAGTGCCAAAATCAGTCTGCCTGCAGGTGGGTATTTCCCGGCCCCTTACCCTTGTAGAAGGGCCGGCCGCTGAGTACATCGCCTCTGTTGGTAAAGCCTGGCCCGCGGGGACAGAGCTCTTCATAGCCACGGCTGCCGGGCCGGGCACAGGCCTCGCAGTCGATGCCCCAGGCCGCACCCACGGTGCAGCAGCAGGCATCCAGGCGGAAGCGGCCGGCCACGGGCTGGGCGCAGGCGTCCTCCTCCCAGGTCAGGTAGCAAAGCTCCGAGCGCACGTCTGGAGGAGCAAGCGGACAGGCCCACGGTCAACATCCAGGCTGGCCAGTGGCGTTAAAGCTAATTCATACTGCAAATGCCACAATAGAAGCAAACTAAAATGTATAAAAATGGTTTTGTATGTGGGGCTCAGCAGTCTCTGTGCCTGTGACGTCACTGGTTTGAATCTAGCGCTTGGTAGAGTAGCTACATCTTCATTGGGTCCTTGAAGTACCAACACCTGCTTCCCCTGTCAGTCTGGTTCCTCCCAATGTTTCTTCCATCTAGGAAGTTTTTTTTCTTGCCACTGTTGCCTCTGGCTTGGGTATGGATAATGTGAAGTGCTTTGAGACAAAGTGATGTTGTGAAAACGCGCTATACAAATTGAAGTGAAATTGAAGTAAAGTGAAGCGAAGCGAAGTGAAGCAAAGCGAAGTGAAGTGAGCAAGGCCTTTAAACCCCTGAAAAATGCTCCTGGGGCACCAGACAGAGAGCTGACTGCGCTCAGACCCCAAGCTCTGCTCTCACCCCTGTATGTGTGTAAGTCTTTAAAAAATGAAAAATGGATGGCAAGATGGGAATTGTGAAAGAACACAGTCCTTTATACCTGTATAGCTTAATTTCTTACTCCTTGCACCTACAGTTACAGTGAAGTCAGTAATACGGGTGAAAGCCTGGGCCCCCTGTGAAAGCAGACACACTCACCAACGCAGAGGCGGCCTGTGCCATCCAGAGTCAGCCCTTCGGGACAAAGGCACCGGAAGGAGCCCTTGGTGTTGACGCAGCGGCCGTTGGTGCAGACCCCGGGAAACACCAAGCACTCGTTCACGTCTGTGACACAGGAAGTTACATTACAATACAGATTACGGATTTAGTCAGCGTTCAAACTGATTTCATAAGATTTCAGCGAGTTATGAACTGAAATACATGAGAAAGATACGCGGCATCCCCATCGACTCCAGGGGGTTAACTATAAATGACACAGGGGCAGAGTACATTGAAGATCAGTCTGGCCAGTAGACCTGACATATGATGACAGGTCCATAGAAGCTGAGGGGAGTGGCAGGACTGAACTGCAAATGGTGAAAGATCACAGCCTGTCAAAGGTCACGGTCAAGAGGTGAAAAAGTGCATTCTGTACCTTCACATGAAAGCCCCCTTGGCCGTGCGTACCCTCTCGAGCAGAAGGGGTCTGCAAAACAATTAATTACAATTAATTCAAATATACATATAGATATACAGTAGTGACCCACATCCAAGCAGAATGCTTGGGTTTTACAATATACACACAACAGTTCCATTCAATTATGCAGGAAACACTGCTTTATATAAACAAAGACAATTGTGACATGATATGAGTGAAGCATAAATAAAGTTTAAAGCTTAAGTTAGAGGAAAAAAAAAAATTCCCCTGAGCTACAACAAATTTAGGAGCCATGCAAATTTCAATATCTGCCAACGACATTAGGGTGAAAAGTGTTATAGTGTAACTGTACATAGTAACAGATGTAATTGTGTTTTTTTTTTCTCCCTTCTGCTGTTACTTTGCCAGAGATAAATGCAGCTTGGACTGGAGTCAGCAGTGCTGGCAAAGATCATACAGCTAGAATGTGCACGACCCCCGAAACCACAAAGAACCTGGCCAGAACACAAGAGGTAGCTGCAATTATGAAACGGCAAGACTGCGGGGTGTGGAGGCTGGGGGTCAGACCACAGGAAAGGCTAGAGGAGGTCTTGGCCTTAGCAATGTGCAGGCAAAACAGTATAAACTGAAAATTGAGATTTAATGAGCCAGATGCCAAATATTCCTTAGAAAGGCAGTTAGACAATATCAGGCAATTAGACAAAGCTAAATGCAGAGAACGGGGCATTATACGAACATTCCTGATTTCCACTCCCCATGCGAAAAACCACAAGGATAAAGGCGAGTTGTTTTGTGGCTGCCACTGTCAGAGCACAGGCTTAGCGGTGGTGGTGGCGCAGGGCACCGTACCGATCTCGCACGGCTGGCACGGACTGCCCCAGGCCGCCCCTAGTGTGGCGCAGCACTCCGACCTCAGCGTGCCCCCATGCAGGTTGACCTCGCAGCGGCCGTCCTGCACGTTCAGCCAGCAGGTCCCCTTCAGGCTGTCTGCGAGCAGGGAGCAGTGGATTGTGGAAAGGAGCGGCAGGGGTGGTGTTTAAGGAGGGAGTCGATCAAAATAATAATAAATGGTGTTGTACTTATTTTACTCAGATGCATTATACTAAACATTTCTACTAAACCAACTCTTCTCTTCTTAGGCCCTGTGCGGCCTCACGGATCTGTGCCCATGCTGTGCTGTGTTTATGTAACACTTACATCCGTGTTGATTTATCTGCCATTTTTCCTTATCTAGAACAACTAACAGGACCAGCAAAGCAAAAAAAGTTCAGACCAGTATATGCTGATTTACATCAGAAAATTATCCAGTGTTGTAAACTATTCTGTACCCTGTAGGCCTGGATAGTTATCCATCAGTAAGCAATGGGCACCAACTCAGATACTTACCAACGCAGATGAGACCTGTGCTGTCCAGCTTGCTGCCGGGAGAGCACTCGCAGATGAAGGAACCAGCATTGTTCTTACACTCCCCATTAGCACAGGGGCTGCTCTCACACTCATTGATATCTAAAATGCGGGGGGGATGAAATAGCATGTAGCACACCCTTTAGCCAGAACCTGTATTCACACACACTGATATCTAAAATGAGCGGGGGATGAAATACCACGTAACACACCCCATTAGTACAGTACCTGTCTTCACATACACTGATATCTAAAATAAGAGGGAAGAGATAGCAAGTACCTCACCCCCATTAGTACAGTACCCAAGTACTTTACAGCATTTTCATTCATATTTGCTCATCCATCGTAATGTTGAATAGGGTAGTTACCATACTTGTCCCAATTTAATATATATATTTTATATTTAATATATATAGTGCATTATGGGATAACGGTGATGGCCCAGGCTGCCATGTCATCAAACGGCTGTGGTTCTGGAAACCTGCCACTGCCCCATGAGTGGCACCTCTTGGATGCACTTCAGACCAACCAACATCCTGTTGTGTGGTCAACCAAAAATCCACCAGGAACAGCCAGGCCTAGTCCGAGATCCGAAAAGCAGGAAGGCATGGCCCTAATTTAGCGGCTAATATCACCGATTGGGAGGGCAGCTGTGGAAGAATGACTGTAGCTCGTCCAAAAATACACTCAGCTCGAAAAGAAAAAAATAATAACTCGGGCTCTCTTCAGTGGCAGCCGAGCAGGAGTTTTTGGAAACGGCAGCTGGAAGGAGACTGAGCTTCCAGGCTGCCTGTGTGAGGCCAGTGAGGAAGGGCTTGTTTCATGGGCAATTAGACACAGTAGCAGGTCTCCTCTCCAAGGGTCATTTCCCCAGAGGGACGGGTAAACGCACAGAATACAGCTCGTTGCAGCACACAAAGGTAAAATATGTACGCATTTGCTCTGTTACAACAATCGATTGCTGCACATATCACGTGTAAAGGCAAATACTTACTTGCATACCAGTCATATGCATCCCTGGTGATAACTATGAAGGTAGCCATGAAACTGTAACTCAACATTTAAGACACACTAGATTTCCCTCGTTTTGTATAAGAGCAAGACATTTGGGATGGGTGACAGAAAGGGAAACTTAAATATGAATCAAAGCCGACAGAATGGCTCTGATAAACTACATTAAATAATTATTATGGTGTAGTTCACATTTTACAATACATATAGAATTTTTATTTTTGACATTGGTGGAAAAACTTTGTTGAAGGTTTTTAAAATCATCTGCGTTAAGATATGAGCTCACAGCACGTTCGAGGTTTGGATCAAACAGATACCAGATTAAACATCAATTCTTCTCAAAGCTTCTCACTTCATTAAACTGCATGACATCCTTCATACACGCAGATACTATGCTTTTAACGGGTTTCAAGTCTGATCCATTGTATAACTTTAAACCAAGCCATTTTAAATCAGTGTAAATAATTCACATGACCTCAACATAATGAGATTAGCAAGAATATATCCTGGTTTGTGTCTCCACCGTTGGGTCTTGGTGTCCGTCATGTTTTTGTTATGTCATGGTGAATCGAGGACATCATGTCTCACCTTCACACGTCTCTGAGTCCTGCCTGAAGATGTATCCCTTGGGGCAGCTGCAGCTGTAGCTTCCCGGAATGTTCCGGCAAAGGCCGTGGTCACAGAGAAGCCGGTTTACCAGGCACTCGTCGATGTCTAAAAAGGTAAACGTGAAGACGGTTGTCTGCCTGCACTGATTTCTAAAGCCGCATGGGAAAAACAAAAAAGCAAACTATCTTTTATCGGTGTTTGAGATCTGAAACGCAGATGTAAACAGGACAGATTGTTCACCTGACATTCATCAGTATCTAAAAGGCAAACATATGGAAGCACTTGGTGATGCTCTGAGGCGAGCAAGCCTGTTAGACACAATCAGAAACGAGTAAATACATAGAAACAGGAATGGTCATGGCATACGGCATAAAACACAAAGATGAAAGCCAGCTCACTCTGCCCCAACGACTGAAACTCATACAAACAGACTGATCATGCATTGACCAAGCCATTGACCAAAAGAAGCCCGTCCATATTTCAACAGATGTATTTTAACCTAAAGGTTTTCTGCTAACAATGCTTTCCTCACCACACTTTACTATCTGCGAGTTTTCCTCCCCCAAACAGTTTGACTGACATTAATAAAAACCTTACAGAACAGGGAGCCCGAATATATCAGACGTAACCGCGCTGTTAAAATAATTTCCCGTGACGCTCTTCAACAAAACATATGGGGCAGGAAGGACAGTACTGCCGTGATGAACGTGCTGCTTGGAATTCCAAGAAAAGCAGGTCGGAATGAATGACTCACTACTACGGCTTAGATGGAGAGAACTACAAAAAAGCCAGGCTGGAGTGCAGCCCGTGGAATAATCACACGCTCTGATAAGGAGAGCGGCCTGATAATCAACTGTTTACCTATCTGCTCCAAAAAAGGTTTAACATAATACACGCTTTCTTTGGAGACTTCCAATAACCTGCAAGAGCTGTTCTGAGAACAAGAGGGTCGACTCTCTCATTTGGACGTTCAGGGCTCCTCTACGGGATGCTTGGGAAATGACTACTGCCGAGCGACGGGTCCTTCCTGTCCGTCTCTGCTAACTGCGCTTCATGATTCCAGCACAGAAGCTTTCAACAAAACTGAAGATTAAATTGTACCCATTTTCACATTCATCTATAGGAATGTGGTTGTGACAGATTTTTAAATCTGGCTTTTATAAAAGTATAAGTATGTAACATCCTGGGTGTGAGGAAGTTCTCCAGAAAGCACAGGAGCTGTGAAATTTCACACTAATTCCACACTTCAATGCGTGACTCACCTCTCCTGCAGAAAACATCTCTTTGGTATTTATGATTAAATGAGCTTGCTAAAGTACTGAAACACAGTCTGTAATGAGGTACCGATAAGCTCAGAACAGCATTAAAGGAGCGAAGCGTCAAGCTTTCCCTCTTCTGTAAGCGATGAGGTGATCTGACACTGATTTTCAGTAGGTACAGCATCAACATCCACTGTTCTTCAAACAAACACTCAAGGCCCTCTTACTTGGCTTGTGTGTAACCTGGCCTGAAAGAGCCCCTTTCCTGATAAAGACAACATTAATCATGACGCAATTCCTGCTATGGTTACACTAAATTAGGCTGCCTTTGGAAATCCTTACTGTAAGTCTCAGCTTCCACCACACAAAAGGGCACCAGATTTCACACTATGGTTATGGCGTAAGAGCAGGAACCCTATAAAGCTCGGTTCTGTTTTGTTTTTGAGGGAGTTTGGTTTCCTTGTTGAGCGGGAACTTTCTAAAAATGTTCTAGAAGCTCAGGTTAAGTAAACACAGCAATCCACTTGGGCCATTGTTTGAGCATGGCTTCCACGGGATCGAATTACAGCGCCCACCTCCACGGAAAGCACCTACCATTAGCGCCCCCTGCAGAGCGGTTCCTAGATAAACAGTCACACTCAAGGACTAAAGCTTAAGAAACGAGCATTTGATGCAGCAGATGGGTTAGTTAATGTCTGTTTGTTCACACTTAACTCACCAATGCAGCTTTTCCTGGTCAGGTCAGGCTCATAACCCATGTTGCAGACACAGCGGTAACTTCCCCGCAGGTTCTCGCACGCACCATTGGGACAGATATCTGGGTCCAGCGCGCACTCGTTAATGTCTGGCCAGCACAGAGGGAGAGGGACACGGAGACATTTAAGCAGAATGGACAGGCATTCGTCTAGGAACCGAGTGACAGCTCCCACATGCGTGGACACATGAAGAGACAGCAATGTGATGGAGAAACAGAACAGGGAGAAAGCCCATAAAATGACACAAGTCACCGCAAACCATACAGTTACCTGTCCCATCCACAGAAAACCCAACACCGCTTCCACACAAGGCCTGGAACTCGGCTGAAAGAGAAGGAAAAAAACAAGAGAATTCAAAATCCTGAAAATGAACATAACCATGTCCTACTTATTAAATTACCTCTGCAGCCTTTGGACCACTTGTGATCACATCTGGAATTTGGAAGCGCACGGATGTAAAGGTAGTGGTAAGGAGTTCTTACATTAAACACTAAAGGTGAGTAAAAGGTGCCAAAACACGAGCGATCACGGGTCTAGGTAACACAGATAACAGGTCGCTGCTCTCTTGCTGCACTGTGACTGGTCTGTGTTTCATTTCTGCCTGTATCATTACAATTTTTTGCATAGTTCATATTCCGGATCCTGTGACATCTAACTTCTGGGTAAGTTTATTATGAACATAATTAATTAATGCTGAAATTACGGTTCTTTGCCTAGATATATCTAAGACAGCACTAGTGTTCCCAGGGGAAATTCCGGGGTCACACCTGAATTCCGGCCTGGGCACGGGTGGCAGGGCTCTCCGAAGCTGTAGTTGGGATCGGCGCAGCAGCATTCCGACTTTGTGACGGCGCCCTGGAATGGCCGTGCGCACACGCCCTTCTTAATGGCCCCGTAGCAGGTACTGCGTATGTGTGTGTCTGAAACGGAGAGCGATAATTGGTTTCCAGTCACTTCTGAGTCATTCTGGCGAGGTGATCGGACTAGCCGCTTGGATTTTGGGGTGAAGCTGGCTTCCTGAGGGGTGGGGTTACCTCCGCAGAAGCGGCCATCCATGCTGACTGCCAACCCCGCCAGGCATTCACAGCGGAAGGAGCCGTCTGTGTTGATGCAGCGTCCGTTCATGCAGATCCCGGCCGTCAGGCACTCGTCGACATCTGCTCGGGGTGGAGGGGGGGGGGGGACGCACAAGAGTCCACATGAGTGACGGTAGAAGGGATCAGTGATGACAGGGACGCTCGCTGAACCCTGATGAAATACAGCCGACGGCTGCTGTGGTGCCTCTGCGACAGACACATGTACAGATGCCGGGACCCATTCCAGGTCTGCCACGGGTTCGAGGAAACACACAGGGTGATCCTGTCGCGGTCACGGGGGCAAAGAGACCGTGCAGGGGTCCGACCCGGAACATCCACATGCACCTGTCAACCTTTGCCTTTGACATTCATGGTGACATTGACAGGAATTAAACAAATGCCACATAGAAACCACAGCTAATTAAGACCTGGAGCACATCACTGTAAACTAAAATCTATTAAAATCAAAGTCTGTTTTCCTTTTAGTATGTGCAGTTTATTACAGCTGAATTCTACAGTTTGGAGCAACAACAGACGGGCCTTTGAGCAAATTTGCGCAACATCTTCGTACGAGGATGCATTTCTTACAGATTTTATTTCATAGAAACCAGCTGTTTCTTCTATTCTAGGCAATAAAATATTACACCCATTATTAGTATCTAACATGACTTTGGGCTGAAGAACAAAAAGATGCAGTAAAAATTTGCCCCTGTACTCACCAATGCAATAGCGCCCACTAGGGGCCAGGGTGAAGCCGGGCTTGCAGACACACCGGAAGCTGCCGTCCTCGTTAATACACATGCCATTCAGGCACATGTTGGTCGTGGCACACTCATCGTGGTCTGGCGGTGCCCGGTCATGGGACAGGGATGCAGACATTTTGTAAGGCCAAAGGTGACACGTCACAGACAGTCAGCACACAGGGAGAAGCTGTGCCAGTCCGGTCAGACAGATCGGTATTTTCCACCCTGAATAAACACCCGAATCTTTAGCTTAATCATATGAAACTAATGAAAATCTCAATGGAAGAACAAATTTCCGAAACTCACACAGTGCATTTGTTGTTGTTTTTCAGATGAGACTGCCAATGATCTAAAGTCAGACCTCCTCAATATATCTGCAACATTGGGAACCAAAACTCACTCAGTCCTCAAGTAATCCAACTGAGGTTATTATTCTTCAGCTGAGGTCCCAATTCAGAACAAAAGAATGGACACCTGTAAATCTATAGGGTTACCCAATCCAACTTACTAAAATTCTAGACAGTAAGCTTCTTTCTATGTCACACTTACAGACAGCCTTGTCCAATGACAGGGGGTCTATGTCACACTTGCAGACAGTCTATGAATTTAACATAAAAAATTAAGACCTAACCATGTAGAAGGCTGCTATAAAAAATGAATCAAGCGACTATCGCCATTCACTATCAGGCCAACTTACCCAGGTCCCCCCCCCTGCCTTATACCCCACACTTCCTGTCCAGGCTCTCGCCCCCCCCTGCCTTATACCCCACACTTCCTGTCCAGGGTCTCGCCCCCCCCTGCCTTATACCCCACACTTCCTGTCCAGGGTCCCGCCCCCCTTGCCTTTTACCCCACACTTTCTGTCCAGGGTCTCGCCCCCCCCTGCCTTACACCACCACTTCCTGTCCAGGGTCCCCACCCCCCTTGCCTTTTACCTCACATTTCTTGTGAGAAACTCCAGGGTCACCATGTCCCTGAACTGGATAAGCGGTTAAGGAAGCCAGGTGGGTAGATTATCGGGTGGGTGCTTTTCATACACGCCATTTTGCTAATGTCAGTCAGGAAGTGGATGGATCGCATGGTTTCCCATGATCCTCCAGGCCAATTTGGGCTTTGGCACAAGGCCTACAGAGAAGCCTCACCCACACAGCTCCTTCCGTCAGGCGTCAGCTGGAAGCCCGCGTTGCAGATGCACCGGAAGCTTCCATCTGTGTTGAGGCAGCGGCCGTTGCTGCAGAGCATGCCATTCTGCAGGCACTCATCGATGTCTGGGAAGCAGACAGAATGTCACGGGCCATGCTGGGTACCACAACGAGTCCCAATCCTGTGGTTCTCTATCAGTGGCTCTATGTTATACATAAGATGCGTTTTATGACAGGGGGTCCATGTTACACTTAAAGACAGCCTTGTCCAATGACAGGGGGTCTATGTTACACTTATACGCAGGCTTGTCCAATGAGGTAGGTGAATGTCACACTTACAAACAGCCTGTCCAATGACAGGGCATCTATGTCACACTTACAGACAGCCTTGTCCAATGACAGGGCATCTATGTCACACTTACAGACAGCCTTGTCCAATGACAGGGGGTCTATGTCACACTTGCAGACAGTCTTGACCCATAACATGGTATGTACAGGTATAACAGTACTGCTGCTGTTTGATATACTAAAGTGGTCAACAGAAGTGGTAAACTTCTTCATGCACAACATGACAAAAATTAACTAAAAAACTATAAGTAACACGTAATACATGTGCAATTCTGTACACCATGTAAAGTAATGCCAGATTATGGACAGACAATTTTAAGTGTTAAAGTGTTGACACATGGTATAAAAATAAAAAATATATTAAAAAATAAACAAATTCAAATGTGACTAAATGTAAAAAAATATCCAGACTGAATTACTTTCAGGGTTGCAGTAAAGTCGGTGAGTATAGCTTGTTGAAGTTGATTTCTGTCACGACACTCACCTTAAGGTGAGAAGATAATTTTGTTGGTTTGAAATGTTTACTAGCAGATCCTGCACTTGAAAATTTAGCAGAGCAATTTTTGCAAATTGCATGTCTAATGACATTAAACTAATTCCACACAGCAGATATTTTTCTAACTGTTTGGTACGCCTGGTTCATTTTTAACCATTGGCCGACGGCAGATTGTAGCTGTATTGGCCAATACAATCGTTGCATCTCGAGGCAGGATGTGACATTCTCCAAGGCAATGCGCCTTACCGATGCACGCCTGTCTGGCGGGTGTCCGCTGGAACCCCGAGTGACACTTGCAGTAGTAGGAGCCCAGTGTGTTGACGCAGTCCCCATTCGCACAGGGGTCGGAGGAGCACTCGTCCACATCTGTTTGGAGAAAGCCATGAGCAGCAGTCAGTGTCAGAGGCCTTCACTTCTCCAATGACTATGCGAGGTGTAGCCATACAGGAAGGAGACCCAAAGGTAACATTTTCTAATCCTGAGAACTGCCATTGTAACATGGAGGAAGGTATCCTAATTGGCTTTAAAAGTATCCAGCTGTAGAATTAAATCCAATTGAATGTCTGCAATTCCCCCCAAATTAAATAATCCACTGTAAAATGGTACAATATGTACAGTGTGAGGCTCATTAGTGGTACACAGTTCCCTGGAATAATGTGCATGCATGCTCCAGCTGACTGTTTCACGCCTGCGCTGCAATGTTGCATCACCTGCGCAGTCTCCTCGGGCGTCCTGCGTGAAGCCCACGTTGCACTCGCAGTAGTAACTGGACCGAACTGGCACACACCGGCCATTCAGGCACAGGTTGGGCAGCTTCTGACAGATATCCACTGTCTGGTTCAGGGTAGCTGGGAAAGTAGATGCTTTACTGTGCCCTGCTCTTAATAATAAAACATGGTTCTGAGTTCCAAACCCCGCCCACCCACTTACCGTAATCAGGATAGTTGATTCTGGGCCCATTCCCATTGGTGGGGGGAACCCCTCGACCATTAAGCATTGGGTCGTGTGCAGCTGGATCACGGGGATCTGTGGGGATTCGGCCACCAACGATCCCGGGGTCCGCAATCGGGAACCTGCCGGGGACCCCCTCGATGCATAGCTGGCGAAACTCCTCTGCGTGCGCAACAAGGCAGAATCACATTAGGCCAGTACCAAACTATTAAAGGGTGAACAATATGCAAGTAACTATTAAAATAAAGGAATCTCTAGTAGATTAAGGGCAGGTGCTTCCTTAAGTAAGTAGTATCACCAACATGCTGAAAATAATGTAAAAACATGTTGTCCATTGCTTTAGCCACCATGCATGGAGGAGGAGCTCTGAAGAAGCTGGCAGATGGAAGTCTGAGGGGAGGAACATCATCATCTAACATCATTGAGCACCATCACAGGGTGGAACACTGGAGTTATTTTGTGATTGAAGTAGTAGAAATAGCACAGGGCATGGTCTACTGAGCACTGGAAAAAAGGCATGGTCAAATGAGTCACCCTTCACGCTGCTGTCACGTAAGGTCTGGGTTACATGTGGGGAGGACGCCAAAGGAAGCCTGCAGCCAGTGTTTGTTTCCCATGGTGAAGCGTTCTGGCAGCTCTGTTAAGGTGCCGAGTGACATGGTTTATGTCCACTCAACCCCTAGGAGGTAATTTCCAACAACGTGCAGCCATCCATCCTACAGTGAAGCATTTCTATCCTGAAAAGCCCCTATCCACAGAACACGAGTGCTCACCAACGGGTTTGCTGAACATCCCGATCCAAATGAACAGTTACGCCAGATTCTAGATTGACACCAGCGATATTATATTGAACCACTGGCAGTAAAATACCAAATTACGATGGAATCACTGGAGGAATGATGTCACATCCCCTCACAGTATCAGCCCGGACACTACAGTGCATGCCAGAGTGTATCAAAGCGGCCATGCTGGCTTGACTTTATTCCGATGCTTCCTTTATTTTAGTGGTCACGTGTGGATTATGGGCGGCAATGTGAGCCTCAAAACTGGCACACCAGAGATGGGCCTCAGTCACCCTCAATATGAGACCGGAACGGTGAAAGTATGAGTACGAGTAACACTGTTTGGCAAGCAGGGCTGCTGGGATTTCTGAATTATTAACTGAGTTCCTATTTGTGTCCCCATGTAGATAAAATATTAATGGAGGACAGAGGAGAATTTCTGTCCCCCCCCCAACTTCCCCTTGCTTTTTTCATATTGTGAAATTTTTATTATATTTGTTAATGAATACAAAGATCCAAGATATAATTCCAGATGATAGCTCAATACGAATATAAAGTCTAAAAGCTGCAGATGCCCACAGATCAGGGTTCACAACTCCTGTTTTACAGCAGAGATGCACAAGTACTTTGTATATTGCTTATTATACAATTAAAATATATATATATCCATAAATAATGAACAACAATGCCCCTATGCACAAAATTCATGAGTAGTTTGGATGACTGTTGGTTATAATAATAATAATAATAATATAATAATTGATACTTTATTGATCCCCGTGGGGAAATTGTTTTTACGCCTCCCTCAACTTGCTCTTTGCAGAGTAAGTTGTCTGTGAAGGGCAGCCACCTGTTGGGGCGCCCAGGGTGCTGGGGGTTAAGGGCCTTGCTCAAGGACCCACAGACGTGCTGAGGCTGGGATTATATTGACTAAAATAACCAGAAAGAGGGTCATATGCTGTGTGAAAAAAGGCTTAGTGTTCAATAGGGCCAGTGTGCTATTATATTCAAGTAGGATTTTTTTGGGACCCTTGGGGAGCCAGTACAGCCCTGTCTTACCAGACACACGGACAGGGCACATCTCAGGCAGGGTACCCCTCGTCCAGCACCGACCCGAGTCACAGCAGCACTGGACCTTGGTAAAGTGACTCGACAGCTCCTGTGCACAGCGCCCGTTCAGCAGGCTCCCGTAGCAGGATCCCACTCGCTGGTCTGAGGCATACATGACAGAGGACATCATTATGACATCACAGTCTAGTGCACAGGAGACATTATTGCATCACATCATTCTCTTTGTTCCATTGTTCCATTGTTAAATAAACGTAGGCCTTTTATTTAATTGGTTTGCATACTGCCTGATTATTTGAGGGGGCACAAATAACAAATTAACTAATCACTACTCAAGTTCAAATCATAAACAAATATAGTAACTGCATGAAATGAAGTGTTATGATTGACTAATGATGAACGAACATGGGATCCATACATAACTAACACTTAGATTCTGGTTAATTTAGTTAACTTTTTATTGTATCTTTGACTTTAATTGTTGTGTGTACCCTTTGTAAGCTATAGGATGTAAGATTTGGGATTATTATTATTAATAATCTAAACATTAAGTGTGTAATAGTCTACTAATACATTATTTGTCCCCTCTCAATTAATGCCCAAGCTTCCTGATAAATCCCATGATCCCCCTGTGGCCTAATTTCAGCTAGTGATCACATGGCCCGAGTCCTTAACATTTTGCTGTGAAAAGTCCTGACTGCCGCTTTAATACCGTCTCTCCCCCAGGAGGTGATACCATGGGGAACTTGCGAATTCTTACAGCCATCTGCCATTAGGACTGAGAGGCCAGAGGCTCTGGATGGGATCGACATCTTGGTGCCGGTCGGACCTGAAAGCCGAGCCCTCACTGGCTGATATACAAGCCCACGGAACTTCAGTGCCGGTTACAGCTGATAAGAAAGTTAGACAGCGCCAGAGCTTGAAGGCGGGGAATTTTATTCCCTCCAAATGCAAAACCTTGATGGGCTCATAGTTTTGACAGTATGGTGTGAAAAAGGCACTTGTCTGAGATCTCCGCACCGTATGTAGGTCAGGGAACTTCAGCTGCGACCCGCCAGACTCTTGCAGACCCACACAGAGTCATGTTTGCACATGTGCTTCCTGGCAGGGTGAGGGGGGAGGCTCCAAAGGAGAGCATGCTTCTCCTGTTAGGCACATGGAGGCATGCGACGCCCACCCTTCATGGGAACGGTAACCTGGTAACCATGCATGGCTAAGTTAGGCTTTGCTTACCTGGAGGATGGAACCTCTAGGTCACCTGGAACTATGGGTTCTGGCGTAACTCAGGGAGCCAAGAGGCCCAGGAAAACAAAATGACCGAATCTGCAGCTCGCACTGATTCAGTCTGCCAGCTAAACCTATTTATTTGCTTTTACAGGAACACACACACATACACACACACACACAGGTTTGTAATTATATCTTTGTGGGGACTCTCCATTCATTTCTATGGGGAAAACTCTACTTCCCAACTTGACGACATTAAGAGAGACTTCTGGCATTTTTACGGTTTGATTGCATTCACAGATCTTTGTGGGAACCTGGAAAATGGTCCCCACAACATTAAAAAAACAGGCTGCAGGTTTTTATTACATTGTTAGTGACATTTGGTCCCCACAATGTAATATAAACATAATGTACACACACACACACACACACCAGCAACCTATTTGCCTTTACAGGAACACACACAAATATAGATAGATAGATAGATAGATAGATAGATGGATTTTTTGTATTTTTTATATATTTTATACAAAAATAAATCAATACATTATGAAAAGCTTAAGAAAGGTATGCAACGTATGCAAGTCCTCCTCATTGGCTGAGGGCCCCCAAGAACGATCCGTTCACTGTCGTGATGGACCATGAGCCTCTCAGCGGCTCCCAGTGCGGCGCCCTGGCCCGGCGGTGGCCGTATCTGGAGCTTGTTAGCGCAGTGTAATACCCGGCCTGGAGACGCTTAGAGGAAGCGTACGCAGCCCTGCACATGCTCAGCGTCTGGACTGTGGACTCGCACCCGGGGCTGTTTACCTGAGACAGATTTCCCTCCCCTCTGCTGTACCCCTCCCCTCCATTTTTCCTTTTTCTCTCCCTGCTTCACCAGACAAAATGAATTCAAAACAAAATACAGTAAGTATGTAAATGATATCCAGACCGCAGTGTGGGTGTGGCTTACTACTCTGTAATATTCCTCCTTAGGCTTTTCAGAAATACATCTTTCTTAATACTGCCCCGTGGAAAATGATAAGTTAAAAACATCTCAAAAAACATACTAATTAAAATAAAAAGTGAATCAGTTATTTCCAAATAAATTTTTTTATTTTTATAAAACATCCTTCCCCAGCAGGGTGCTTGACATGTGCACATGCATGCACAGAGCAAAGAAGTCCAGAACAGAGCAGGGGGAGGAATAGTAACCTGAGAGGATGGAGGTCAGTGGGCAACCAGCTGCTCGCACCTTCAGGAAATGCTAACCTTACAATTTCACCCAGATACCCTAATATCACCAAATAAGTATGTGGGTTCAGCTAGTTCATCAGTCCTATTTTTTAACTGTACCATGTACATACCATGTTATGTATTCACACTTAGCTAATTTTGCACACTTCTGTCTGGTTTCACCGACAATGTATGCTAACTTGTCTTTTAGCCACCTTTATAGGCCTGGCCCTACAAATTCAGATAAAACCATCAAATGTAACACTTGTTCATTGATACAATTCATCAAAACAGTAAAGTAAAATGAAAAGCGGATTAGCAGTGGGAAGCCAATTACCCTGGCCTTGAGGATGGAAGGAACCATAATCCCACCCTGTCCTTCTGAGAGACGTATTCACACCTGGAATGCGATGTTAATGCTGGCTTTTGCAAGGTAATTGCAGGTTAAGTCCAGCCACCGGCACCACAAGGGAACTGGAAATCACGATCACCCGGGCTCCCCTGAGAGGTCGGGAAGCCATTGCGCCGCCGGCATTCTGCACGCGTTTCGACACGCTCGGCAGTTTGGGAAGGGGTGGGCAGAGGGGAGATTATTTTCAACAAAATCACCTGCCGGGTAATAAAATAGGTCTGTAATTGCTGCACAACCAGAAGAGACAGTGCTCTCCAGGCTTATAATTGTACTGAGAACTGAAGCAGAAGGTCCTGGAGGAAGGGAGGGTGGTGATGACACGAGGATGAGGCCACGCCATTAATACGATGCGTGATGAAAGGGGGTCATGGGAAAGCTCAAGATGACGGCAATAATACCCCGAGTGTAGCAGGAGACTTGGTTATAGGGGAGGAAGACCTCCCACTGTCTAACAAGAGATCCTGCAATTTCGTCTGTTGTTCCTCATGATTAGCAGGGATTCACTGAACCTGCCTTCTTAAGAACAATGACAAAGACCTGGAAGATAGAACTGGTTCTACTATCATTCGCTCAGCTTTTCCAACATTAATATTATTTTTTAACTGTAGCTTGCTGTCTGATCTTACCTAATTTAAACTGATTTGTGATGTTTGATAGGCAACAGGTAATTAAATCTATATATTTAGCAAGAATGTGCCACATATACAAAAATATTTTGGGGAAAATATTTAATTATAATTTCCAATGCCATCCTTACATAAATGGAAACCTTAAAATAAGATTCAATTCAAATTTAATGATTTAATGAAGTTTTTTTCCACTTGCAGTGAAGTGAACTATTCCATGACAAACACAATTAATGTTGGTCTGAAAAGCCCCTGCAGTAGCCAAAACAATAAATTGTTCAATTTAACACAACAGAAAGGAAGTATGAAGTAGCTAGCAGCCAGCAAGATGCAGATACATGACAGTGAATGTCGCACCTGAAAGAACAGAGGTGAGCAGAGTGACACGTGGAGCAGCTACAGTCACTTCCAGCAGACTGAGTGCCTACTGTACCCACGGCCATAGGAAATGGCCAGATGATTGGGCTTCAATGGAATGCCGCAGCAACTTGGAAAGGTAGCCTGAGCTGGATTTCAGGCTAAAGCCCCAATAACCACTGCAATGTCACTGCCAGCCCCTTTCCTGAAACGCCTGCCACGTCCTGCCTGCAATCAGCAGAGGCTACTACACTACTTACTGTACCTCCCCCATCCTGGCTGCGCGGTGGGTCTGAATACTATATTATCGCCACGGAAACAATTCTGCCGCAGGCCACGGTCCCAGGGCCATTTAAAACATTTTTACATAAATCAACATGCAATGTTTTATGGTTTTTCACTGCTGCCTTTCCACTTGAGTTCCTATTATTTTTATTATTTCACAACTCATATGTATCGTTTGATGTGTCATGCTGTTCATTTCATGTCCACTGGCAAGCTCTGTCAGGAGGTGTTACTTTCCAAAATGCTATTATTATTATTATTATACATCCATCTTCAAAGAAATTCTTGGGAAAAAACACTAGCTGAATACATATATTTAGTAAAAATACATTTAGACAATGATAGACAGTAACAGTAATTATTATATAATAAAATACATTTAAAAATAAAGATTTCTTATTAATTATTTTAATATCATTAATAATAAACCATTAATACATTTAATTATTATAATAATAATGTCGTGCCCAGTGGGGACAGAACGGAACGGAGACAAAGGTCAGGGTATCAGGGAATACGGGGTTTAATTGCAGGTAAGGCAGGCAAAACGTAGACGGACAATACAATGACCGGACTGGGGAAACAAACTGAAACACGGACTAATGGCAACAACCAGAAACAGCTGATCACACGGGGAATCCACACAAGGTAACGAGGGGGTGTGGCACACGGAAGGAGCGGACGATCGGGGCAGGACACTTTGTTTGGATACATTTATTTTCTTACTTTACAAATGACTGTTTTGATAAATGTGCTTAGATGTGTTTATTACAGTATATGCTCTTATTATTTTATCCGGCTCATTTTGTGTTTAAATGCTAAAAAAAACATATTTAGGTGTAATTTTTTGGGGTCGGGAACCAATTAATTGGTTTTCCATTATTTCTTATGGGGAAAATTCGATCAGTTCTGAACGGATTAAGGTTGAGTTCTGAGGTACCACTGTGTGTGTGTGTGTGTGTGTGTGTGTGTATATATATATACACTCACCTAAAGGATTATTAGGAACACCTGTTCAATTTCTCATTAATGCAATTATCTAATCAACCAATCACATAGCAGTTGCTTCAATGCAT